GTTTCTATTTATATGCTTACATTGCATGTTGACTAGTTTTTTCACTAGAGCCTTTGCCATCTTAATCACAGTGACTTTAAATTCTCTGTTAGATAATCCCAACACCTGGGTCGTATATTTTATGATGTGTCTAGTTCTGATGTTTTCTTTGTCTTCAGGCTGTTTTCTTTCCTTATTTTATAATATACCTTATAACTTTTTGTTGAAAGCCAGACACAATGTACAAGGTAATAGGAGCAGAGGTAAATATGCCTTTATCGTGACGTTTTATGTTAATTTGGTGGGAGTTTGGCTGTGTTTAATGTCGGCACTAGTTAAAAGTGCCAGAGGCTTCAAATTTCTCTAGTGTCATTGGTTTTGACTCGTCAATTAACTTTAGGGTCTCCTAAGTAATTTTCCTCAGAGAATTTGCATCTTTTTGCTTTTTTAGCTGTAATGCACTGATATAATTAATATTGGATCCCTATTAGTGTGGTGGTAAGTTGTGGGAGAAGGAAGTGCTCCATGATCTTATGGTTAAATTTGTGTCTTTTAGTGGGCCTTCGTCCCTGGGCTGTAAACTTCGGAAGTGTTCCATACTTTTATTTCCCCAGATTAGGTGAGATAGAAAGGCCACTGGGGATTGAAATGGTATAAATACCCTTTTTCCAGGAGGGACAAGGCTATTATATGGGATTTTTCCATAGATAGTAACACTTCATTTTGGAGACTCCTCTGGTCATATTTCACAGTGGTTACTTCTTCTCTACCCCCACCAGGGCCCTGAGAGGACATTGATCAGTTTTTCACCCTGATAATCTGGTGAGATTCCTGAAGGTAAAACTCACAAAAGTTGGTGGCCTGCCTGGATGTGGTTTCCAGAAGTTTCTCCTTAGTCCGCTCTCAGATTCTGCCAATTCTATTTCGATCCATTCCAAATTGTCTGTTCCAGAGAAACATAACAACTCTGGCTGTGGACACGCCTATTTCTCCAGATTGGGGATGGTTATTTGCCTTGTAACCTCAGTTGTTGATTTTCGGCTTGTTCAGCTCTCTTGTAAGATTGGGAATGACCACTTCCCAGCTGTCTCTGAGCTGAAACCAGAAGTTATTGATTATTCTTCTGATCTGAGGCATACCTGCTTTCCTAGCAATTTCCTTTGTCTCTCTTCCTTGAATGAAAGGTCTGGGTTTTTGAATCCTTAGCTCCTTCTTTCTTGGTAAACTTCTTATTTTAGGAGAGTACTACCAACATCTTCATAGGAAAAAAATGCATGAGTGTAAAGTTTTTAAGATTTTGCATTTGAAAGTGTCTATTCTCCTTCATGTTTGAATCATATTTTGGTTGGGCAAAAAATTCCAAGCTGGAAAAAATTTTCTCTAAGAATTTCTATGGCTTCCATTGGCTACTCTTCAAATATCTGTGGTTCTTGACTCTCTATTCTTATTCAAGAACGAGGCCTAACAAAGAGGCTAGCAGGTCTGTGTGAGTAGCGTTTACCAACTGGAGGGCTTCACTGTAGGGCAGTAGGCAGGGATGCGCCTGTTTGATGGGAGGCCTTCTGCACATTTCAGAACCTACAGGTCTTCTCCTTTGTGCTGGTCAGTTTCTCGAGAGAACTAATGTCCTGTTCCAAGTCAGGCTCCAGGATGATGAGATCTAAAGGCTTCATTGTTCCTTTTAGAGACTTTCGAACAAACTCGTGTTTTGTTTCATCCATCCCTCTACCTCCAGGAGTACCAGGTGCCTCTAACTTCTGAGTCCTTTGAGAGCTCTGTCGTGCAAACTGGCCTTATTCCTTTTGGTGTTAAACATAAAACACTTAACTTCCACAGCTGAAAGCCTTTTTTAAAAGAAAGGGTTTATTGAGCCATATGTTTACCAGAAAAAGACCCGGTCCTGGAGCATGAAGTCTAAACCAGCAGCAGCAGCACTAGGTGGTGAAGGAAACAGGTCCACCATCCTGCAGTTCACACATCATGATTTGGGGAAGAAAGATGTAAATTGTTTGTGAAAGAATTTACATTGGCTGTAGATAAGGGAGGGTGGGAAAAAGTGAAGCAAGGGCAGTTCTGTGATAGAAGCACAGTCTGTAAAGAAGAAATATTTACTACTTTTGATTGGTTACAGGCAATAGTCCTGAGAGTTCCTGCATATTCAGGATGCAGCGGTCAGCCATTAGACTCCTGGTGGTTGACTGAAAGCTCCCACATACACTGAGAAATGTGAGCAGTTTTTTGTTAACTGGTCCAGAGACATTAACTGGTTAATTATTCCCATCACTTTCTCTCACTCCCCAGCAGCTGTAATTTAATTTAGAATATCTCAGAATTTTTCTCTTGTGGTTGGCTTTTATCTAGTCTACTTGCCCCTCCCCCACAACATACGCACTATCACTTGAAGGCCCAGGGCTTTCTCCAGGTTGATAAATTAGTTACCATCGTTCCATTGCTTACCTGCTTATGAACACTTTGATATGTTTGTCTGCTTTTGTATCCCATCTTTTTCTCCTGTTCTTTGAGTTTATGTCTCTTTTATTCTTTTATTGTCCTTTTAGTGGGGTCACAAGAGGAAATGGAGACAAGCAAATGCATTTATTCAAAGAATCTATATTCATTCTACAGTGTTATTTGCTTTGGTGTTATAACTGGTTGTGAAAAAGACATATTTTTGTGTTTTTTTTCTTTTCCATTCCAAGCCATTCTGACAAGAATTTGAGATGAGACTGAAGAAAGGGTGATATTAAAAATTTTTTATCTCAAATCATCGACAAGTTTATTTAATCTTTTAATAAGACATTTCTATGTGACTATGAATGTTTATCTCCACACCCATTAACATTCAAGCCAGATGATAAACGGTGTGTGCCCCATTCCCTCTGGACATCTTTCTGCATCTTCTTCTCTCTCAATGTTCCAGTGAGGGTGCCTCTTTCCCTCTCTTCTTCGTGGCTTCGATGTTACACAGGCTTTCATTACAACTCTGTCGTCGCAGATGCACTGGCCCGCAAGTTTACTTATATGGTATAAAGAAGCTTTGCACATAGTGTTTACTAGTTCAGTAAATAAACATGTATGGAGTTTTAAAAGTTGTTTCTTAAGCAAACCCTGTATGTATACTCAGATGCAGAAGTATAAAACAGTGCCTAAACTATCTACTATCAGGCATATAAACCAGATAGCTAAGTATCAGGTAAAATATTTTACCTAAAACATTGACCTGTGGGAGTTTATACTTTTTCTTAAACAGTGCTGCCTTAGCAAACAGGCTAAATGAATTCGAGGCCCTCAAATTTATCAAGCAAACAATCAAGCAACAATTATTTGTTGAGTATGTATGTATCCAAGCCTGAATTGGTACCTGGAGGAATATGAATAAAATGTCAAATATTGTGCCTGCTCTTCCCTCAGACGTGTAGGCGTGTCATGTGGAGTCCTCATTTGGATCAAACGCACAGGCTTGTCATTTGATATGAGAGACCAAATACTCTTACTGCCCAGTTGCTGAGACAAAGTTACATATGAAAAATGCTAGTAACACAACACACCTCAATGTTCTATCATCTTTGGGAGCCACCAAATGCTACAGACATTCAGAACAGAAGGTCAAAGGAGATGAGAGTCGAGAAATCACGAACATTGATTGAGCTTGTGTTCTAGTTGGTGGAGGAACACATGCAGAGAGAAATGCCTAACCAGTTGGGTTGGCCACGAATGATGCACTGGATTTGTGACGCGGAAGAAAAAACATTCCATAGAAGAAAGAAGGTGTACCTCAAAACAATAAGACAAAAGGAGGTATATATGCCATTCTGGGAAAGAAGGTAGGAGTCTCGGGGGAGGTGAAATGTTAATTTGGACGTGTAGAGACCACAGGACACAAAGGTTTCTCCCTGTCTGCCACACCTAGTTCAGATTTAACTACCACTATCTGTGGTGAGAGCTCCTTCCTAAAGCCTGGCATAGGCCTTTCATCTTAAATTCTTTTAGCACTTAGAAGGAAAGTTGAAGTTCTTCTTGAGCCTTCTGGGTCTTAAAAATAACCAGTTTAAGATAATTAATAGAGGCATATTTTGTGGTTGCAGACTTTTTTGCCCTTCAGGTTCATGCTCTTGAGAGAATATGGCAGTATTGGAAGAATGAGAGTATGACGGCGGCTTGGTTGTATTTGGTAAATAACTTTGTCAACTTCTCAAGTCCCACGTCTTTGTGGAGAAAGATATCAGGCCACATAGATGTCACTGTCGGCTGCACTAGGCGCTGCATTCTGGTCGACTGAGCACACTGAGCTAAGGCCGTAGATTCTGCTTTTCTGATTGCTAAACCAACCTGGTTAGCAGGCAGCTGCCTTTCTTTGTCCTTGCACACTTTACGCTTCACGATGCTTAAGCAAACGGAAAAGCAACCGCTAGGAGGTACTCGAGCTATGCGTTGGACTCCAAGGCCAGCTTAAACGTTTAACAGTGGGTCCATCCGCTTCGCGGGTCCAGGCGGGTGGCACTTTTCCAAGGTCGAGGTTGCGAAGAAGAACTAGTCCGTGGAGCGAGAAAGGCCAGTAAGAACAAGGGCCCTTTAACTTAAAAGGTGGAGTTGGCAAACCGGCTCCCAAGTCACTGTCACGTCGTGAGGTGCCAGTGCTCGGGAAGCAGCTACCTCCACATCTGGATGCAGCAACGCCTTTCCCTGCAGGGCGGAGGACAGGCGGAGGACTCCGACGTGCACGCACCGCCTCGCGCGCGCGCGGGCCCGTGAGCGTTGGTGTGTCTGTGTGTGTGCACGCGCGCGCGCGGGTGCTGGTTGGAGCTGCGGCTCCGGGACTGGGTGATGAGGGTGGGAGCCCAAGAAGAGACAAATCTACCCCCGGCAACCTCGCGTCTCACTGCGGGTTAATCACCAGGTACAGAGAGACTGGGGTGACCCGGCGGGGTGACAGTTCCTTCCTGCACGCCGGCTGCATGTCTAACGGTCAGGTTACTAGCCAGTCTCTGCCACACTGAAGGATATATATATATACATACATATATGTCTTTGCGTATGTATATGTATATGTATATAATTTTTTATTGTTTGCCTCCATCTCCAGAGAGCAAGGGCGGAAGAGAGGGCCGCACGCTCCAGCCGAGCGTCGCGGATCTGAACGGGTCGAAGGAGGCAATTTTGCGAGTGGGGGAGGGAGGGGGACCTCGATTTCCACCAATCCCCGGGCGTTTGTCTGCGAAGTCCGGGGCGCAGCGGAAGGCTGCGGCGCGCTGCTGAATTAACTGATGAGAGCGAATTCTTTTCTTCTCCGGGAGAGGTGGGGAGCGAGGGTCCTGGCTGACGAGGCGGAGAAGCCCGAGACGGGGTAGCGGTCCCGGGCCGCGGTGGAAATTTCCAAGGACTTGGCGCGGCGCGGAGAGCGCGTCTGGAGGGCGGGGGGTGCCTGGCAGCGCGGGAGGCGGGGAGAGACGGCGAAGGGCGCAGGAGCATCTCTCAAACGGGGACGGCGCGGACCAAACGTCTGGGAGGGAGCCCAGCGGCTCCCTGGACCCAAGCGGAGAACGACAGTGATGCTGCAGAACATAGGGGGTACGATTCGCCGCCGTCTCTCTCCGCGCTCTCGGAGACCCCCAATGCCCGCCTTCTTCAGGGGAAGCGACCATGGCCACAGCTTGTGACTTTGCCCCTAGCCACTTCCCTTAGGAAAAAAAAAATCCTTGAAAAAGTTGCATTTGAAAAATCCTTGTTCCGACCTTTGGGGCCGCGAGGGCTGAAGAAGCGTTTGTGCAAGTGCAAGCAAGAAAGTGAAAGCTGTGTGTGCATGGGGGGCCGGCGGTGGGGGCGCCCTCCGCTGCCACTTCGCCTAGCATCGTGCTGAGGCTCTGGTCTTCGCCCCCGGCCCCTCACCCCGGGACCCTGGGGCTGCGATGAGCCCCTGCGGGCGGGCCCGGAGACACACGTCCAGAGGGGCCATGGCTGTACTGGCGTGCAAGTTCCCGCGGACCCGGCTGCCAGTGGGAGCCAGTGCCCTCTGCGTCGTGGTCCTCTGTTGGCTCTACATCTTCCCCGTCTACCGGCTGCCCAACGAGAAGGAGATCGTGCAGGGGGTGCTGCAACAGGGCACGGCGTGGAGGAAGAACCAGACAGCGGCCAGACTTTTCAGGTACTCCCGCCCTCCCGGCTCGTCCCCGCTCGCGTCCTTTCCTCCCAGTGCCCAAGAACAGGGTCACCAGCGAGACGCCCGCCTCGCAGAGGCAACCCTTTTCATCCAGGCTTTCTTGTCCTACTCCCTTTCCGTTCCATTCCCAACCTGGGGACTTTAGTCAAGAAGCCCTTCCCACGCCTTACTCCAAGAGGTGTGCAGACACCTGCTTTGTCCGTCTAAAAAAGCGTGTGCGCATTTCTGCCCAAGCCTGAGTTGTATTCAACCATTAGGAAATAACTGGTGGGAAGGGGAACTCAGGCGAACTTTATGCCTAGCCCTTCATGAGAATTTATTTCTCGGTCTCTGCAGACGTTTGAAGCTATAGAGAGCTAGAAGCAGGTAGGGGATGCCTTAAGGAGGTTAGGTAAACGGTTGGCAACATAAAGCACTAATGAGGGAGTAATGGCCAAGTCTTGGGCAGTGGAAACATGCACACTCAGCCAGGCTCCAGTGGCTTTGTCCAGTGTGCCCATAAGAAACAGGGCACTGACGGATGCCTTACCAAGAGCCAGGCGCTATGTGATTTTTATGTTGAGGTCTCAACAACTTTCTAATAACAGATGTTAACCCCATTTTACCATCGACAAACTGAGTCTTCAGAAGGATGATATTTCCCCAAGGTCATGTACCTTTGAAGCCTCCATGCTGGGATTTTCATCTCGAAACCTCTAAACCTCCCAGATCTTTCTCTTGCCTTAGCCTGGGGAGGCCTTTTGAAAGATGGGAGATTGCTCCCATCTTTAAGAAAGGACTTTACATCAGAAAACAACACACAAAACTGTAACCAGTTTGGATACCAGAATTTTGAGAATCACTCAGAGGTTGTAGTTTCCTTTTCTTTCTGGGCATTTCAGTTTAAGTGTCTAAAAACAAGTTCTTGGCAGGAGGAGTTTTATGTGAATTGGAAGGAAGGCAGAGCTGCTTTCCCTTCCTGTCCACTTCCCTGGGCATGTTGGGGGACGACACACTAGTGCTTCCACCACTGCCAGGCACCCCCCTTCTCTGTCAGTCCCTGGGGCTGAGGATGCTGCAGTTGGCTCTTTTGTGATTTTCGTGGTCTGAATGGGAAGTGCTTTCCCTGGCTCTGCAGAGGATCTTCCAAGCAGTACATGGGCAGGCGAGAACCCAATGTAAAGACTTTTCATTACTGTTACAAATGTTTAGAAATACCTATGAATTAAAAAAAAACAACTTAAAAACACATGGTTTCCCTCCTCATTTCAGGCCTGCTCCTGGAAAGAAGGTCAAAGAGCTAATAGCCAATTCTGTCAGGGAAGCTTGCTGAATTCTCCTTTAAACTGGAAGACTTTTCTTCTTTTCTCACTCTTTTTAGATTTCTTCTTTCATTAGGTTTAAAATCACCCCACTCCCCTTAAAAGGATATAAGGGTTAATCTTCTTTCACCTCCACAGTATTGAGTGTTGGACTCAAAAGAACCCAAAAGGCATAGCATCCAGCAATTCTTTTCTCTACAGACAGAAAGCACTTTTATTTCAAGTAGTATAAGGAAATGAGTTAAGAACTTCCCATTGGTTTGCAATGAAGGAGTCCTTTTTTATTTTTTTTTTGTATAGGAGGAGAATAATGAAGCTCTGTTAGAGAGTTGATTTCTTTTGTAGGACATAATCAAGTGAAAAATGGTCCATATTCTGAGAAACACAGGCTGATAGTTTCAGAAATACATTTGCCCCTTGCTGTCTGTAGTCTGGAGTAATCTTCAGTGTGTTTGGCTATCATTTGGTTTGTCTCTCTGTGCAGAGAATTACTTATGGAACACACACTATAAAAACTGCCTAAGCACTTACCCCTCAAAGTTAGTGTCTGTAAAATGGTGTGAGAGGCGCTGTTGTTTACTGAAAAGAGTTTGGGCTTCAGAGTAGAAACCTGAATTTTTAGACTGACTATGTCACGACTAGGTAAACAGCAGAGCATCGTTGGCAAGTTATTCAATCTCTTTGAGTCTTAGTTTCTTTTTTTATAAATGGGATAATAACATCTACCTTGCAGGGTTGGTATAGTGTTAAATTAAAAAAAAAAAGCTGCCCTGGCTGGTGTAGCTCAGTGGATTGAGCATGGGTTTGTGAACCAAAAGATCGCAGTTCGATTCCCCGTCAGGGCACATGCCTGGGTTGCAGGCCAGTTCCCAGCAGGGGATGCACCAGAAGCAACCATACATTGATATTTCTCTCCTTTTCTTCCCTTCTAAAGATAAATAAATAAAATTTTAAAAAACTGGGTGATTTCTTTAAAAAAAAACTGATGCTGTGTCTGGCACACTTACCCAGTCAGTGTTATTATTATAATTGTTAAAATTACAATTTTCTGTATATATCACAATTTAAATAAGGACAGCTTGCCAGAGCATATGAATTTGAAATGTAGCACCTGCCAAATTTGAAAAGAAACTTGATTGGGCCATATCTGCCCACATTACACCCCTCACACATAAACTAATAAACAGAGACAAGGAGTATAAAATAATCATAAAAGTATCATGGTTTATTAAGTCACAAATATGTTATTCTCATGTTAAAATCCACTGCTTTCTGCCCTGGGTGATGTGGCTCAGTGGATTGAGAGCTGGCCTGAGAATCAAAGGGTCACAGTTCAATTCCCAGTCAGGGCACATGCCTGGATTGCAGGCCAGGTCCCCAGTAGGGGGCACTCAAGAGGCAACCACACATTGATGTTTCCCTCTTTCTTTCTCCCTCCCTTCCCTTTTCAAATAAAATCTTTTAAAAACAATCAAATCTTTAAAAAAAATCCATTGTTTTTTTTAACCATCTGGATTGTTAGTGTGGGAGTAGTAGTGTTTGTTTGTTAAATATTAGCTTAGACAGAAGACTTTATTATATGTAGGAGACCCTACTTTGGCAAACAGTTACCTGCATTTTCCAGTTTGAAATATCTTCTGCACAAATATAGACATATACATGTATATACATATACATATATACATGTATATATTTGTGCAGAATATAAACATAAATATATATGCAAATGTACAATATGTACTTATGTATGGGGATATATACACATTTATTCATAAACCATGGAATATCATGTATATGTACATATTCGTATATACATATATATGAATGTGATCAATTGACCACCACTTGATGAGCGACTGCTGTGAACCAGATATGAGTTAGGTCCTGGGGGATAGGCGTGAATGGGATGGACAGACTGCTTTCTCTGAGAAAGCTTACCTGTGCCAGGAGGCGGCTGATGAAAACAAGCGAGTAAGGAAATAAGATGGTTCAACGTGCTGTGAAATACTTTGAGGACAAAAGAAAGTCACTATGTTTATGAGAACTTCACAGTACATTGGCCCGTTGTGCTTCCACTTACTTTTCTTTTTTCCCCCCTACTTACTTTTCTGATTTTCTTCCAGCTCACAACTTGTTAAGTCCTCACTTCTCAGAGGGGAACCTTGACAAATCCCATAGGAAAGGGCAACAAGAAAGTAACAAGGCTACAAGAGTTGAACTGAAGAAGTTTTCCTAACATCCACGTGGCAATAGAAAGGTGGAGAAATCAATTGGCCCTATCACAGAAACTTAAGGAAGTTTCTATGCAGCTCTCGTTGCTTTGGGCAGAGCAGTCAAGTAGTGTGGGGAAATGCCAAACCAAAGTGGCTTTTGCCTCTCCCTGTCCTTATCCGTTTTATTTGCTTCTCAGAAGTTAACTTATGTCAGAATGTATGTGCAAGGCTTTATTCTTGGCACCTGACATGGTAACAATGACAACAACAATAAAACCAATGAATAATTTGGTACTTATTATTTGCATTGCACTATACTAAGTGTTTTAAATGTATTGTCTCATTTTATTCTCCTTAGAACCTTGTGTAAGTGAATACATTATATATTTATAAAGATGAACATGCCCTGGTCCCTGTCATCAAGGAATTTGCTATAAACCCATGGGACGGGCCTGCATGTATTCAGTTAACTAACCAGCTGGAAATGGGGCAATCGAAGAGAGGCAGCAGGGCTGAGTGTAAGGCTGAGGGATTCAGGAGCTGTCAGAACGTGGTTGGAATTCTGGGTGTACCCCTTTCTCGCATCATGTGATTGTTGGTGAGTTGATCTCAGAGCTTCAGTTTCCCCATGGGTAAAATGGGTGGTGTAATCATGGCATACACATCTGTCGTGAAAACTACATGGGAGCATACAGAAAGCGCCTAGAATGATGCTCACCACATATGTCTGGATACTATATGGTAGTTATAACAACAGAAACACAAGCAGAGTACTGGGAAAGTTTGTGGAATATGGCATTTAATTCTATCGAAAAGAGGGAAATTAGAGAGGAGGTGGTGCTTGTACTAAGCCTTGAAGCATGGTACGATGGGCCAGTAGTAGGAGGTGAGGGCAGAAAGATGCTCCAGGCAGAGACAAAGCAAAGGCCCAAGCAGGGAGGTTTGGAAATGCCTGGTGTGCTGCGAGTAGGCAGAGTTAGTGAGTAGCCCACAGAGAACAACATAGTAGAAAGGTAGATTGGAAGGTACGTGGAAGCCAGGTGACAGTCTCTTTTGTGTTTTTTTTATAATTGTTTTTAAAATATATTTTATTGATTATGCTATTACAGTTGTCCCACTTTTTCTCCTTTGTATACCTCTGCTCTGTATACCTCCTCCCACCTTCATTCCCCCACCTTAGTTCATGTCCATGGGTCATATATATAAGTTCTTTGGCTTCTCCATTTCCTATGCTATTCTTAACCTCCCCCTATCTGTTTTGTGCCTACCATTTATGCTTCTTATTCCCTGTATTTTTCCACCATTGTCCCTCCACCACCTCCCTGCTGGCAACCCTCCATGGATCTTTATTTCTGTGAATCTGTCCCTTTTCTAGTTGTTTGCTTAGTTTGTTTGGTTTTGTTTGTTTATTTTTTTTTAGGTTCAGTTATTGATAGTTGTGAATTTGTTGTCATTTTACTGTTCATATTTT